GCCCAGGTGCAACCTGATATTATCGGCTTGCACTGTCACGCAATGAAAAATAAAAATGCAAACCATTCAATACAGAAGGACTAGAATCTGGGAAATGAAAAAAGACAAATATACAAAAACACTTGCCAAAAATCAGGTCTGTGAAATATTTCAAATGCGAGATATTGGGAAAAACGGTTTACCTAAATTTATAAAGCTTTGTATGGAAACGCCATGTTGGTGTCCCTTTCAGGAACACCAATATGGCCGCCGGATACCAACAGAAACATCTGTTTTCGAGTTTTCCTACTAATGCGTGAATTCTTCGCTTGAGGAACTCATAAAGATTACAGTAATATTTATTCTGAGACAAGGAATGTTTAGATTGCAAAATCTCCCAAAATCGGTAATGTTTTTAACCCATATAAGAGCTTTCCCGGCCGCCAGCTAAATGCCGCGTCACGCAAAAGCCTGGAAATTCAAGCGTCCTCTCTCGCAAAACGAAGAACCCTTTAGAACCAAAAATTTGTTTATGTAAAGGTGTTTAGGTACTGTAATACCTCGTGAAAGTAGAAACTCAGAAGAATCGATAGTTTCTTAGTTTGATTTTTGGTAACGTCACGTGCAACCCAAGAATTGCACACCCATGTTGTGATCAATTGACAGCTGTCAATACAGGGTATCCACTGACCAGTACCATCACCAGAGAAGGAACAACAATAGTTTTTTGACATAGCAGAAAATCGTTTCCGCTGCATTTGGTGGCTCAAGACGTGAGACAGCTTAATAAATGTAACATAATAATTTATTTCTTCATATACAACGATACGAATTGTCCTAACCTTTAAGTATCCTTGTTTTAAATACCACTTGGACCACTTGAAAATACTGATTTCCCGGACAATCATGGCGCATATAAGAGCAAAAAGCTACGAAACAGAAAGCTATCTCTTGGTATGTAAACAGCTGGAGAAGAGTAGTCATATTACGCCTTGATGATGAACACAAAAACAAATTAGACAAACAAGATCTTTTTCTCCATTTTGGAAGCATTTACAACCAATGAAAAAAAGAAACGACGCTGTAAACTTAAACTACGATTTATTTTAGGTAGCAGAGAATTGTGTGATTATTTCTTGACTGATATCGTGACATGTGTAACGTACAGAACTTGTCAACAATCAGTTTAAGTTAAAGAACAAAAAGTTACACTGGTATTTTGAAATGGCTCTTAGGGATTATTGGTTTCCTGTCCACTCCTGTAATAGCCATTAAAATAAACTACAACTTCCCCAAAGCAGTCCCATAGTGCACTTCGATACAACGCCGAAGTAGTCTTGTGCGCAATGCAGACAATAAATGGCTTGCGAGTATTGCTCACATAGGATCAGCGAGTCTTGAAGTATACACTGCAGCTTCTACAAGAGTATCAAACACTCTAGCATTTTCAAGGCAATGGGCATAAATAATCAGGCTCTTTGTTTGATATCGGACAGAATCAAAGAGTAGTTTTTTTTTCCAGTTGTTTGTGTTAGTGTGCCACTGCACCCTTAAACTTCGCCAGTGTACCAGACACCATTCAGCTTTACTATGTGACTGGCTCTACGAACAGGCATGATGAGGTAAATCTATGGTTTTCATTGGCTATTCGAGAGGACAAGACAGGCCCATCTTGCCCGTATGATCCCTTCGGAAAAAAATTTCTTTTTGGTTATATATACATTAAAAATACCTTAATGGCCATGCTTGTTTCCATTAAATGGGTGAATATTAGTCCCGCTTGTTTTCTTTCTTTACATTTGTATTTTGACCTCCCCTTCGTCTAGGTCCATTAAATCGAAAAAGAACTGTCCGATACTCATTCATCTTGAACTCGCGGTTGGTTCTCGGATACCCTTTAGGTAATAATTTTCAAAAGCAAATAACCTTATTTTAACCTTAGTTCGTGGATTCTTAGATCCTACAGCATATTGACGAGCCTAGAACCACTTATACAGAGTGTTTCAAACGTTTGTTCCGATTGTAAATTGAATTTTTCGCAAAGCATTTGATGCTTCCTTAGGCAAATGTAAACTGATTCAGGTACGAAATTTTTCTAGATAACCGTTCAATTAGCAATTTCATATTAAAATTTGAAGAAAATAGACATTTTTTTTATTTTTGCCCCAAATGTGCACGTACGCGAGTTTTTTCCCGCCATATTTTTCCTGTCCATTTTGTAGGTTTTCTATTTTCGTATTTTTACCGTTTTCTTTTATTTTCTCTACTCTTTCGTGAAACTGAAGGCGTACACTGTTTGTGCTACAGCTCAGGCGTCTATTTTAACGGTATTCTGGCCATTTAGTGAAAGAAATTGCCAAATTGTTGAAGACGTCTGAACGATGAGTGAACAGCTGCTCAAAAGTATAAACACGTTAGAAGACAAACCAAGGAAACTCCAAGGAGAAGATGGGCGTTTTTTTACAAACTGTGTGAGAAATGTTATCGAAAAAACTGTAAGGATATGCGTAGTAATTCAACAAGACTCCGAGGTAAGAAAAACTTCAACTTAACAATATCAAACTTTTTGAGCGCAACGGTAGGGAGATATGTGACCAACAAACGTTGGAAAGCCTTGAAGAGAAAAAAGGCGGTGCAAATTTCATGCAGGCATGGCATCAGAAGCAATTGTAAACTTTATACCATGGGACGACAACAGGACGACCGGCCGGCCAACTCACGTCATCTGAACACTCTATAGACCATCTGGATTATTGTTGATGGGACAACATACAAAGATCCAGCCCCCAAAACACTGCACGAGCTAAGGCAGCGATTACGCTTCGCCTGGAAAAATTTGAATATAGACACGCTTTGGGAGCTCGTACATTCTATACTTCACCACTTAGAAAATGTAAGAAAACATAAAGGACGATATTCTGGTTGCTAATATTTCAGTTAGTCAATGTTAAATGAATAATGAACAACATGCTTAGTTTTACAAAAGGTATTTTTTTAAAAATCAGTGAAATTTAAGCGAAGAAAAAATCGGAACGAACTTTTGAAACGCGCTGTATATATTTTAACTCCATCGCTCACGCATCAAAAGAAAGTAAGGTAAATTACTTTATAGAAATCTTATTTTTAGAAATCTTCTCTTTAAAGAGGGCAGAATTATTTTGATTGATCAATCATAAAAAGTTATCGCTCTTATAATTCGCTTTATTTAAGATAGTTTACGCGTGCTATATATTTTAAGAAAATATTAGTTAAGTAATTATAGAATTACAGGGAATTTTGACTTTTCTTTCTGAAACTATGGCTAGAAAACAAAAATAACCAGCAAGAATTCAGAAGCGCGCACTTTTTACATATACCCTTCTCCTTGTAAGCGTAAACCAACGTCCGTAGGATGCAGGTACATGAGGTGTATGCGCCAAAAGTTATCCGGCGAAACCTATTGGATCTAACTCTGAAGGCGTTTGCCGATGTCGGTACAATTGAAGCCAACTCTACATTTATGGACAGAAAAAGGAACAGCAGGAGGCGCAGTAGTTCAGCTGCTTTTAATTAGCAGAGCTGGAGAAAATGGCAGAAGATTTCACACTGCGTCTAAGCGAAATAAAATAGCCGAACCTACTAGTACCTCAAAATATAGCAAGAATAGCAAAAATACTCAACGGATGCCAACTTCTGTTTGAGTAATGGTTGCTAAATAAATATCCCTTCATAATCTCAAATTGCCCAGCGCAAGGCATTGAAGACAGCATTCGGCTTTCGTATGATAAGAAGAATTAAGCATATCGAAGAGGACCTAGGTGGATAGCGCTCTCCTTGATCCAATAATTGCTATATATCGCTGTTCGCTTAAATATTTTTGAAATAAAATTTATATACACTATAATTGCCCTGTACATATAATTCTGCCGAAGACTAATTAATTCTGGACCAAAATTCTGTTCCTTGTTGAGACATACCTTGTAGAGCTCTACTGTCTTCCCCATTACATACGTTTCAGAAGAAACATACGAGGATCATCATTTTGTAGTTGAGAGAGCTGCGATTTTGACTTCTTCCCGTGCGTTCTATACTTTAGAGTGGCCTCGTATGTCCCGTAGCTGATGTCTTTTCCACCGAACAGCTCAACATAGAATTTTCCTGTCTGTAAAGTTGATTTTTTATCACCACCAAAAAATTTATTACTGAAGAGAAGCTAGCAACTAAGCAGCTTGTTCTTCCCGGATTTATTTTGAGGGTATTTTTGCCATCATACAAGCTGCAGCAGCTTTCTGTTGACTTCCCCTTTTTAACCACTGCCAATGAACACTGATTTGTTTTTAACAACTGTTTCCGATATTACGGATTTCCGTCTTTTCATTGTATTGTCAAATAACCTGCAGTAACAAATCATTTTATTTTTGGTTAGGTACCCCAGAATTTATGACGGTGGCCCACCGCTAACCTAGGAGCTGGGCTCAAGATGGGGCCAAAACTGACAAGCTTTTCAAATGCTAGCTAATGCAAGAAAATATCATTTTAATGAGGGTACTTGGGCAGTGCCCCAAATTCTCCTATTGTTAATACTGTACACTGGCAAGGAGGTTTTGCTTGGCCAAACATACCCTAAGACTGCGAACGGGAAATCTTTGTAGACTCCTTGAAATCAGAACATCTTTCGAAATCTTCCTACGTCTTCGCAGACATCTTTGAAATTCGGGCACTCTAAGGATTAACACTTCACGCCGCTGACCTTGAAGCGTATAACTGTCAAGCTCAATGATGCAAAGAACTTAGCGAAGGCTGCATAAGAAAAGAACTTTTTTCAATTTTTTGCTTAATGAAGAGAAGCTAGCAGCTCCGTGCTCAAAGATTAAAGCGAAAATGACCAAGTATTTCTGAGTTGGCGCGGTAAAACGGCTTCAATCATATGGCCAGTTAGGCTTGTACACAAGTAGACAAAGTGAGATATGGATGGGATATTTATTGCCAATCACAACATAATGACTTCATGGACATACATGGTCAATTTATTGCGCGACCACCTCCACAATAGTTTTCGAAAAAGAAAAAACCTAGCATGGTCAGAATCAAATGGTTTAAAAAGCAGAACACACTCCAGCACAAACTTAAACAGCACTAAACGTTCTTATATAGTAGAAAAACTCTATGGCAACTCTTACTATAGCTACTAGACATCATAATATTCTAACTGACTTTGATAGTGTTAACTGGTTGAGTAATCTTCAACTAGACCATTATTGCAATTAAATGATTTTTACAGAGGTTCCGCTTGTATGCTCTTATTAATATTGCATTATTAAGGAACTTGCAATACTCCAGTCAATCACTAATCTTGTTCTGGTTCAGCCCAGGCCTTTTCAACTTCATCCCACTGTTCGTCAGACAAATCTGTTGAGGAAAAATCCCCAAGAATGATTTATATACTGAAAAAGCAAAAACTTTACGATTATTTTGATGGCCTTGAAGACCTTTTAGTTCCAACTTGTATTCAGCTTGTATTCAAGCATTGTAAAAGTAAAGGTTTATGAACAGAATTTGGTTCTCATGTCACGAATATGGCTTGCCGCCTCTTTTCACAAGTTATTCCCCCCTTTCAAAACTAACAAAACGTCTATACAATTCGTTAGTACTATTTATAACCCACCGATTTTTCTCGCGATTGATTACTGGCTAGTGGTGTAGCAAATAGAAGGACAGGTGTAGGGCGGTACTCCCCGTCCTCATCACTATCTGCCTTACGATTTTTCGGTGGCAAGAAAGTGTAACAGAGTCAACAACGTCATTTTCCTTTCAGTTCTTACGTTCTCAATTTCAAGTGGAACAAAACTAGTCTCATTTCGGGGAATCCAGTGACCGTGAACTTAAGAAACTTATCGCAAATGCTGAAACAAAATATGCTGTTAATTTTTGGGTAAGGGAGCAATAGTTACGCATTACCATTAATGCAGTCTACAGAAACCTAAATTCAGTTATTTTACGCGGTCATAGCTATCAGCTATGGAAAAGAATACTACAAAGTATTTAAAATAAGCGCATTTTCGTCTGACCTTAAGCATGGAGGAAAGATAGAAAAATTCAAGCCCACTTGAAAGGATGCAGCCCGAAGAACTGTCCAACACGTTAAAACGTTCAGTTCGTACAGTCGCAGCACTATGAAGGCAATTTGTTCTGGGCTACTGGCAGCTTTTCAACTGGTTCCTCCCTATTATTCTGGGTAAATGTAAAATGTTTCAACGAGCAAACGGAGCCCTTAATGCCTCGCTGAATGATCTTGCTCGATAGGGGATGATTTTGTCCACCAAGCACAAGCGTCCGATTTCCAATGAGGACCTCGAAGCTCTTTCTGCTTCGAAGCAACTTGGTCTGGTTACTCCAGGAAGTCTCACAAATACTTTTAGTTCCTTACTTCGGCAAAAGAGGCCGTGCAAATCAACGCGCGATGAGGCCGAGTGACTCACAGCTCAGAACAACGACTGCTGGGCTAAATTACTTCGTCCTGAATGAATTTAAGGCCAACGAGAAATCATCCTGGTGGTATCAGTGACCTTGAAGGTGAAACGCTCTGATGATAGTATGGCCTGGAAATCCCGTTCTCTTGTGGCTTGCATCGAGTTCTTGGCAAAAAGAGAGCCACGATGTGATGGCTTGGAGCAAAAACTAAAGAACCACAATGCGAGCTTTTTCTCTTCAACTGGCGAGGTCTGGCTTGAAAAGCACCCAAGGGAAGTTACAAGGTAGAAAACTCGCCCCGAGTCAAAAGCGTTCGGGTCACTTAAGTTATCAATAATCGATGGAGTCGTACAGTGCAGGACTGACCATGTAGCAACAGTTCGAGTAATCCGCGATTGTCAGTCGATATATAACTCAGCAGGATTTAGTTCAGTCAGTTCAACTTGTCCTCGCAGCTCGGCCTCAAGTTCCACCTTTTCTTTCTTTGACTTCCTCGGCGCCAACCACTCCGCAAGAAAGCCGCTTTAAATGCAAATCCTTCAACTATACTCTCGATTTTTCTGTGTTCCTTGGCTGTAATTTCTCTATTAGCCATCGCAGCGACAGTGGCATGGTTTCAGTTCCTTTTATAATCCATGAACTGGAGAAGTTTTTTAACTAGCTTTCGAACAGTGCAGTGATGGGAAAATAAATTGAAAGTGCCGTGTTTTCGACTTTTATCTGAGGGGCGTTCGAGAGTATATTTCACATGATAGCACGTCAAGCTGTGGTCCAATCACAGTTTTAGAAAAAAACTAATCAGTGTACTTGTTTGCATCATTCGCTACCGTAGTCATCGCTTCTTTTTGGCTTTTTCTTAGAAACATGATCAAATGCTTACGAGAGATATAAAAAATTAATCTGAGGGGTATAAAATAAATAGTCCTCTTTCTGGCTTGCTGTTGTATTGGGTAATAATGCCCTTGGCCGAGAGATTCACTCCTTGCGCAAATTGACTCTCAGGAAAACAAAACTGTTTCCCTCGTTACCTGACATTAAGTGTTTTGTTATACTCCTGGACTTTCACTTAACAGCAACGAAGCATAAAGAGCGATTCAAAACAATGTCGGTACATATAAACACTCAAATTTAATTCTCAAAACCGCTGAACTAATGATTTAACAAAGTACTTTCCTTGTGTTATCTGCATCTCTTTCTTCCACTACCTGTTCTATCTCTTCTTCAGAGTCGGCCAGGGTTTGGTTACAGTATATTGGGGTATTTAATTTCAGGTATACAATATTTTCATGCTTAAAATTGGGTAGAAAGTATTACGCTTTTTAGGAATTTTGGTATAGAGTTTATTAGCTCTGAAAGATCAATATCGTGCAATGCGAAATTAAAACTCGTTTCAAATCTGCACAGCGATCCTCTTTTCAACTGGAGCTTTCCAGAGTTTCCCTTGACTGCGTTTGTGTGCCATGCCCTGAGTAAAACAGTTCTAGTTTCCGGCAACCATCTGGAGTCTGCTGTGCACTTATTATAGCAGACAAGAAATAGTAGATTGAAGACGATAACAAATACGCTTGCCTTATCTCCAAACGTTCCTGGAGAATCAGCCGAAGCGGTTAAGTGAGTTCAAATGGACAACAGATGATGCTGGTGGTCTTGATGACACTAGCCCTAACTCAAGCGTATTTACACTTAAGCCTCTTCATAAGCAAGCAGTAAGTGGTCATCAGATGAAGGGACTCACTGCTCAAACCCAAAATGGAACTCTCTCTTCGACAAGGCCTACCCAGAATGCGTAAGCTACCTTAACGTCCACAGCTGCTGACTCTGGAGCAGGGAATACAGCAAGGCCGGCTATATGCTGGATTTCAGCTTAAATTTTGTGCAGGGAACTTAGAAGATTACAGATGTTTCAACTTATTTCACGAATGCTAATGCCATCTACAAACAGCAGTCATCTAAATATAAAAGGGCATTATTACCATCAAGTGTTCCGAATTGGCAAAACCTTAGCTTATGAGGGTTGCTTAGCACCAAAGCACTAAAACTGGCAGATCTTCGACAGTTGGTGTCAATCATTGGCAGGAGTGTACGGCAGAAAACAACTCGTAATATTTCGGTAAAAGACAATCCTGAAACACTGCCATTAAACTTTGTTAAACGTTAAGCCCTATTGCAAGATAACAGTAAAGTCGACCCTCTATGTGCGACCACCTTCGACGGCAGTGACTAACCCACAAGCGCGATTACTTACCGAAACGACCGAAATTTTCCCAGTCAAATCAATACACTTGAAACCTCTCGAAAATGACCACTTCTGCAATCGAACATAATCACTTTTTTGGATGACGCTTTTATAATTTTTGCTTAGTTTTATCTCCCTGTAAGCGACCACTTCAGGCATAGTTGGAGCTATGTTCGCTGTAAGTACTATTCTACTCAGAGTATGAGAACGTTTCGTCACAAGATGAAACTATGCATATCATTTATTGTAACTTGCATGCGATGGATTATTCTCAAATGTAGATGTGTTCGCACCGCTTCTAGGAGAAGGACCCCCCGTGGTTTGATTCTCGTAGGCCACCATTAACTCATTATGGGTGATGATCATCACAAGTGAAAGTTCTAGCAGAGAAAGTATCATTCATCCAAAAGGAACTTGAGGGGCATTTCCTCAAAGACGTAGACCTACATTTATACAAGCAAGTACATTTTACCTAGTCAAACTGGTGGAAGATGATGACTGTGATGCCCCTGTTATAACTAGTAGATGGCTCAGTCAGGAACTTGGGATTCTTTCCTCCCTGTCACGGCGATTTCACTGGTCTCCAAAGATTGATGGGATGACTAATACAATTACAAGCATAACGAAAGTTGCCAGTGAAGATACTGAAGTTGTTTAAGTTTCTAATGCATCCTCGCATTCGTCAGAGGACATTTTTCTCCGTTACTGAGCAGGCAGAATCCATGTCCAGTAGGCCTAGCCTGTGTACAGCCAACCCCTCCCCTCAAAAAATAAAACTCTCTCTCCCCCATTTTTTTCAGGGCAGGGGGCGTCTTTATACAGGCTAGTAGGCCAAAAAAAGAAGGAAAAAGGTGACAACATCAACTGATTTCATTTCTCTTAGAACAGCCATTATCAGCTGAAACCAGCAGTTATTGATAGGCAACTAAAAAGAAATGTCTATGTAATTTAAATTTGGATAAATTAAATTTTCAGTAATTGACTGATGAGTTCTCTTGATTGCCTCGAACCCCAAAACGTAGCTCTTTGCACCGCAGGGGTCGGAGTGCTAAAAGCTAGGCTTTGTACTCCTTGCTTCGCTTACGACTAATTTTGGGTATAAAGTATACCTTGGTTTTCTTAATTTTGGTATTTTGCACGAGTCTTAGTTTATTTGGTATATTGAAGGGTTCACTTGGGGGTATTTTGGTCTTCCACTACCCCCTGGCTGACCCTGCCTGCTTCTTGGATAACTTCACTGTGTAACGTCTTTTTAGCTTGAGGCTACGTGTGAAAACTGACAGTATTTTTTCCGACTTCTCTCACGCCACTTTTCACCAGCCTTGTTTACGCGCTGTTGTATCCCGAGTGGGGTACAGTTGTTGAATTGTATCAAGATTGAGATAGTTAGATTTTAGTCAAGGCCACGTGACCAAGAATCAACCAATGTTTAGTTGAGTGAAAGTCTAGTAATATAGCAACATCCAATATACCAGCCGCTGGAAAGGGGTTTATTTACTAGATATTTTTTGGGTTCGTATAACTTTCTATTTTCTAACATGCGTGGTTTCTGTCAGCCCCCGCCTTGTTTTCGTATTTATAATGCCCCCACCAAAACATGTCTGTGAGCGGAAAACATTACTTGTAGAAAACCTCTCGTGGGAAATATTTATACGTTAACCATTTGATAGACAAGGAGCATTCAATTTCTTACCATCGATAAGCTTAAGAACAATTGCATATCCCTGAATCTTTTCAGTGTCAAAAGATGAAAGATCCACGAGGAACTGATTGCCGGAAGAGGCAGGACAGTAAATCTTCTGAAGAAAGTCACAGTCGTCAGGAAGGAGCGGTTCGTTATCAGAAAGGTTCAACTTCTTCTTGCCTGTGGTCAATGCTTCTTCAAACTAGGAAGTCGTTGGTGAGAAATACGTGTCAGTACATGTATAGCATTTTCAGCTGAGTATTTGACCAGTAAAAAAAAGAAACTTTTAAGATGATAATTTCCTACCGCGTTGTTCGCCTTGCTATTACGGTTTATTTTTTGGTAACTTTTTAAACATCTTTTTTGTAACTTTTAATGGCTTTATTTCGAACTTGTCAATCAAAGTTCAAGAAATTTGGAGGCTGAGTCGTCGTTATTAACCCGAAAGTTCTGGGAAACCACAGCTGCGGAGATGAGCAAATGCCGAGTATAACGCGTTCCAAACTAAAATGTGGCGTTCCGATTTGGACAAATTCCGAGTAAACAAAAAGATGCACACTAAAACTGACTTATTTTTCCGCGTAAAGTTTTAACTTACATCTGAAAATGATTTTTGAACGTAGCAGTATCTCAAGTTTGTTCGAAAAACAGTGCAAAATACGATCAACACAGACTGGACAGTTTTTTCGGAAAGGGAATATCACCACTAAATTCCACGGATAATTTTTCACTTTCGCTCTAAATAGAAACGTTCATGTAAAATTTACAAGAACGATTTGTTTCTTTTTTCGGAATCCCGAATTTCTTCCGAGTAAATTGCAAAGTTACTATTCCAATTCTTTAAACTGTTTTTTAATCTCTTCTCACGCTTAAGGACTAGATAGATAGATAGATAGATAGATAGATAGATAGATAGATAGATAGATAGATAGATAGATAGATAGATAGATAGAGAGGATATTACACGGTGGCGCGAAGATATGAATTTTATTTTCGAGTGGCGCGAGTGAGTAAAATATTGTTTTTGCCACGAGAAAATAAAATTCATATCTTCAAGCCGCCGTGTAATGTTCTTTTTATTATATAGACAAAATGACATCAATAAAATAATAGAGCGAAATTACCAAAATTACGTCATCGATAAACTCACGTGTGAGATTATCGAAAATAAACCACTCGGGTCCCGGATGTAGTTTTTATGAATTTTACGAGTGGTATATTTTCCAGTAAAACACTCGTGTCTATATAATAAAAAAGTATAAAAAATATGATAAAGGGACTAAAAATCTACGTATATATATTATCGATGCAAGATCTAATAATAAAACTGTTCCTAAAACGATCTGTCGTGCATTTAGGTACGATGAAGCGCCTGTTGCACCTTAGGACATAACGTGATGGTCCACTAAATTGTATTAACCTGTTCAGACGGTGTTCAGGGTCCTTTATAGTGGTGTCGAAAGTATTACTACATAGCCCCGTGATGAAATCTACAATAGGGACAATGTTCACTAGTTCGATGGTCTCCTGGTAGGGCAGTCCTGGGCATATTATAGACATTGCCCGCTTCTCAACTCGCACCAACTCGTCTTTTAGGTACTTTGGCAAGGCATGAAAAAAGGCAGGTGCTGCGTACGTAAGAACAGAGCGTATACAAGCAGTGTAAAAGGTGGACATATCATGCCGAGGAACTCTTGATCTTTTTATCTGCACTAAAAAATACAGACGCTTTGACGCTTTCTTGATTACGTCACTAATATGTTCGTTCCACGTAAGGTTGCTCGATATGGTCAGACCTAGTAGTTTCGCACTAGTCACCCTCTCTAGTTCTTTACCATCTACTACAATAGGCGCAAACTGGGGCTCATTCTTTACAAATTATATTCTGAGTTCCTTACACTTGAGTTTGACTCTATTCTGTATAGACCACTCCGCGACCTTATGAGAACTCCGCGACTCCGGAGAAAATTCTGAATTTCTGATTTCCATAAAAATTTGGAAAGAAAACGTTCAGAAATTCCCATCCCCATAAAGAAGTCCAAAAAACACTCAGGAATTCTGATCCCCATAAACGAGTCGATAAAAACATTCAGAAATTCTGCTCCCCATTAAAGAATCCAAAAAACATTCAGAATTCTGATCCCCATAAAGAAGTCCAAAAACATTCAGAGATTCTGATCCTCATAAAGAAGTCCAAAAAACATTCAGGAATTCTGATCCCCATAAAGAAGTCCAGAAAACATTCAGAAATTCTGATCCCCATTAAAGAAGTGGAAAAAAACATTTAGAAATTCTGATCCCCATAAAGAAGCCCAAAAAACATTCAGAAATTCGGATCTCCAGAAAGAAGTCCAAAAAACATTCAGAAATTCTGATCCCCATAAAGAAGTCCAAAAAATATTCAGGAATTCTGATCCCCATAAAGAAGTCCAGAAAACATTCAGAAATTCTGATCTCCAAAAAGAAGTCCAAAAAACACTCACAAAATTCTGATCCCCATAAAGAAGGCCAAAAAACACTCAGAAATTCTGATCCTCCATAAAGAAGTCCAAAAATTCAGAAATTCTGATCCCCATAAGAAGCTCAGCATAGAATTTCTGATTGCCACGAGGAACTCCGAAAGAAAAGTGATTTTTTTGAGAAATTCTGATCCCAATAACGACCTCCAAAAAACATTCAGAAATTCTGATCCAAATAAAGAAAACTGACAAGAATTCAGAATCCTCATAAAAAGATCAAAATAAAATTGGGAAATTCTGATCTCCATATACAATGCTGAAGAAGGAAAAAAATCACTCAGAAATCCCAAGACTAACTTCCACAATGAAGAACAGTGCTAAGTGTTGATCTGCTGTATCATAGCAGTAAAACACCGAGCACCAATAATCAAACAAACTCCTATGTCAAATTCAACAGCTATAATAATTTCACAACCTAGTATTTACCATGGTTTTGGCATGGCTATAGACAGCAAAGAATGATTTGCTATTTATAACTTACGTGGGAATTGAAAAATCTCTACCACTGGGACCTTTGTAATATTGAATTTCGTAAACTCTGAGGTGTGGGCTGTTCAGAGACACAGTTATATTAATGATACTTTCAAAGTTTTATCACAGTAAGAGGGTTGCAATCCTTGACTGTAATGTTTTAAGTTTGCAACGTGGTGCACTGCTCAGCTACAATGCCTTTTGGACTGCTTTTAAGGCTGCCACCATTGCATAGCCACTGCTGCTGCAGACATCGACAACAGCATCCCCTTCTTTTGAGAGATGGTTCACTAGCCAGGTGCAGGCGCCCACAGGCAGTGGTTGTGTGCTGCTACATCCTGAACGCACATGCTCCACAAAAATCAAATCCTCACTGTTTTTACCAGAAAAATGTCTAGAGGTTATCTGTCTTGGCACTGACCACTGTCCTACCACAAACGTGTCGAGGGACTCCTTCAAATATGACCCTAAAAGTGCATGAGTGTAAGAGTTTGAGCACATCCACATTACATGCATATGTTGTGGTTCAAATTTGTTTTTTGGTTTAAAAAATTAAAACCCAGTTTTATTTTTGTTTTCCTTTGTCTTATATGATAGTAATGGATCAGAAACAAAAGAAGACAAATATGAAACTGGTTTGAAAATTTTTTAAGAAACAAAAAAAGTTGAATTACCATATACACTTTATTTATTACAAATTTACTAGTTGATACTATTACTAAAACTCTCCAACAATCAGTTTATAAATTTTGATTAGCTCAATCTTATCATCCAGATTACACACAAGATTTATGGTATTTTTGAAAAGAGAACCTGATCTTGATGGTCTTACAGTTACTTTTCCTAATGAACGAATCACAACCACGGTGGTCGATGGCCATTTCTCAGCACTCCTAAGATACCCGCAATCACCATAATAATTCTATTAATTGTTAATTATCTTGTTGTTTGGTTGTGCTTTTAGTATCAGTGTAATCACAGAGCCAAACTTCCATGCTTTAATCCAGACATCTTGGGGATTTGGACATCCAAGGAAGAGTACTACATGTTGCACTGTTCTCAATTGCAGGCCCTTCAGCTTTCTCAACTTGGCCTGATTTTGATAAGAGAGAGAATATACAAGTTCTTCAAGTCTCAGGTCTGTGTGGTGCACCATTTCTGAGTTATTTGCTGAAACGTTTCACGCAGCTTTATGGTGCTTCAGTATGTAGACACCATACATTGATGTACCAATATAGTACACCAATATGGCAGCTGGAAATAAAAAAAACATCTAAAAATCACTTTTAAGGAAAAAGCACTTTCCCTTCGCTTGTGAGGTTGCATACATGTACATAAACAAAAATCATAAGGAGTGAAATTTTTGGGACCAGACAGCTTTGTTCTAGTCACTTCATGCACTGTAAAAACTTGGAAATTCAAAATACAGTTTTCTTTTTTAGGATTGGAAACTTGTAGGAAGATTTATTTTTTAGGTCATCTTCAACCTGGCGTAGATAAAAATTCAAAATACCTTGCTAGTTTGATTTTCGAACTTGATGACATCATGACCAGTGACAACCATCTGTAGTTATCAATTGCCTGGCCATGAGATGTGGTTTATCCACAAAAAGTCTTTGTTAACATACAATTTGCCAAAAATCAGAACTGTTTCATTCAAGAATCCAATTTGATGTTACTGTCTCATGACGCCAGTACAAGGCATGTTTTTTAAACCCACACAATTTCTTGCAGGAATTTATAGATGATGCTCAAATGCACAAATTCAGGAAGGTGACTAAATTTCAGTTCACAAAATCAGGCTTACCTTGCAATGCTCACCAGCGTTTCCTATTGCCAAAAAGGCTCCTTCAAAGGTACATCGAGCAATGTTGTTGAATTCCATGAAACAGTCTCACACAAATTCTTTAGCTTTTCATAATTATAAGACGCGTAAGTATCTTTTAAAGCACCACAAACTTGGACCAGTACAAACACTTGTTACTGTAGAAATATATCGCCAGGAATTAGGACAAGACTAAGTCCTACAAAAGTATGTGGAATGAACGCCGTGTAAACTTTCGAATACTCTGGAATACTGCATCTCGTTGAATATCAATAGTGCTTTCTCTCAGTTCCATATACCCTGCGTAGCGATGTCCTCAGTAAAATCTTCCTATCCGTCAGGATTTTTATCCTTTGACTAATAAAAGGAATTTTCTTTCGCAAAGTAGTCGCTGTGTATTTTCCTTCTCGCGCCGAGTTACAAGATCGGAAGAAACTTTCATATTACTCACTGTATAAATTCGCCTCGTGTGTGCAACGGACTTTCTTTTTCCACAACTTTTCCCAGACTGCCCTTGGGTTTACACGAAAGGTGATTGGACGTTTTTAACGCAGGGTATGATCTGATTGGCTTACGTATATTATGCATATTATTTTCCGTTTGAGAATTCAATTCTCAAACGGAAAAGTCCGCCATTTTAAAATCGTTTTGCTTTCTCAACGATATGCGATGCTGCTGTGGTTTTTATTTCTTAGATTCTTATGCTTTTGCTGAGGTTATTTTTGTTCTTTTATTTCGTCAAAGTCATGAAACGGGGTGTACGTTGTAATTCGAAGTATCTGGAGAACCGTAATTACGGTATTAAAGGCGAATGGCGAGATTCGCAGTCGTTGAATTGAAGCATCACAGGATACGCTGTGTCACAAAAGAGCGAAGTGTTGAGCTATGATAAAGTGTAAATGGTAGGTATTAAAGTGATTTGATTCTAACTGCAGTATGCTTATTTATACAGCCCTTAGCATTTAATTTCTAAATAACGGCTGGCACAACCGGCGGCACAGGCATACTTCTTCTGCTGAGGGCTTCCAAGAATATAGTTTTTGAAGGCCGGATCTAAAGTACAGGTTACATTCCCCAGGTCAAGAGTACAGGTCACTGTTCTGTCGATAAATTACCAAACCACAAAGATTTTCCTCGATCTAATAGAGCATTTTTTCGACATATTAGGGCTAGGAGATACTTTTGATGCTAGTATTTTATCTGTATCATGGTGACCTGTACTCTGACCTGTGGAAAAGTAACCTGCATTTTAAAAAAACGCAAAATGTTTTGGAGAGCGTTTAATTGGTTTCTCACTAGGCAATGTCTGCAAAAGGTTAATAAAATTGTAATAACCAGACGTTTGGAGTTAAGAAAAATTTAATAAAAATACTCTCTCATCTGGGATTGTTGGTTATGAGATGGTTGTGGCTATTTACCATCTCATATCCAACACACGCTTAGGGAATAACTGTTAAATATTACATTTGTCTTTCAGATTTGCTCATGACTGAGGTGGTTCACTGTTTCATTGTGGGTCACCGGGCAGTGTCCAGGGAGCTAACTGTAACAGAGAGGCATATGGCCAGGTCCACAACAAATATCATTGAGATTGATGATCATGATGAGAGAAAAAGGCCAGGGATGCCCAAGGAACTCTATACGTTTCTTGTCAAAACCTTTTCATTGGAGGGGGATCCAATTCTTGACCTTGGCAGTGGAAGTGGTAAATATATTTGCTATGTTGTGCCGAGTGCCCTTCATTTTGATGAAGTTTTTTGGATCTCTGATTCGTTAAGATAGATGTGTTCACATGAATGAGTGCTTGTTAAATGTGTATAGACTAGTCGAAGACAACTCATATAAGAAAAATCTCTTTCACCTTTTTTGGTTAAGAATTGAAATGTTAGCAGCAATCGAGATGCACAGAACATCCATCTACATTGACCATGCAAGAAAAGAAAAGGAGAGGTTGTCTCTAATTGAGAATATGAGAGGAAATACCCAACATGTAGAAAACTCCCAGTAACTCAGGATTAATTGGATAATTTTGCAACACGTGACTCCTGTTGTTATGTCAAGGGTAATGTTGACAACTTGTATTTTGTGAAAGTAAAACTTTTGGCATATATTTATCAGTGAACTTTCAGTGATAGTCCTATTGTGGGTTCCATGCATAAGGTTCAAAAAATGTTATTTTCAAACTTACATTAATATATTGATAATTGTTGAATTTTAAAATATTCATTAAAGTAATCTGAAGGAGATCAAAATTTCTGAATATTTTTTCTATTATTGTTATTTTCAGTTCTTTATGGAGATCAGAAATTCCGATTTTTGTCACTGACATCCTGTTGGGGTTCAGAATTTCTTTCCTTTTTTGGTGTTCTCTGTGAGAATTAGAATTTCTGAATGTTTTTTTGGACTTCACTGTAGGAATCAGAATTTCTAAATGTTTTGGGGGTTCTTTATGGGGATCAGAATTTCTGAACGTTTTTTGGACTTTTTATGAGGATAAGAATTTCTGAATGTTTCTGGGACTTTATCACTGGGATCAGAATTTGTGAGTGTTTTTTTTGGACCTCTTCATGGGGATCAGAATTTCTGAACGTTTTTGGAAGTTCTTCATGGGAATCAGAATTTCTGAATTTTTTTGGACTTCTGTATTGGGATCAGAATTTCTGAGTGTTTCTTGGACTTCTTCATGGCGATCAGAATTTCTGAACGTTTTTGGAAGTTCTTCATGGGGATCAGAATTTCTGAATTTTTTTGGACTTCTGTATTGGGATCAGAATTTCTGAGTGTTTTTTTGGACTTCTTCATGGCGATCAGAATTTCTGAAAGTTTTTTTAAGTTCTTTGTGGGGATCAGAATTTCTGAATGTTTTTTGGACTTCTTCATGGCGATCAGAATTTCTGAACGTTTTTGGAAGTCTTCATAGGGATCAGAATTTCTGAATTTTTTGGACTTCTGTATTGGGATCAGAATTTCTGAGTGTTTTTTGGACTTCTTCATGGCGATCAGAATTTCTGAAAGTTTTTTTAAGTTCTTTGTGGGGATCAGAATTTCTGAATGTTTTTTGGACTTCTCCATGGGGATCAGAATTTCTAAGTGTTTTTTTTTTACTTTCAAGGGGATCAGAATTTCTGAATGTTTCTTGGAGTTTTTTTATCGGGATCAGAATTTTTTAATTCCTGCTTCGGCTTTTTTTTGGGGGGGGGGGCAGAAATTACGAATCTTACAATAAAAAAGTGCCAAAAGAACTTTGTAGGTCGTCTTCGTTGTTTTACGAAATACCAAAAAAGCCATGTCTAAATCTCGAAAACTTCGCGGACTTCCCATTTTATTCGTTACAAATTGCCTATATCTTTCGGAATAGCAAAATCGTTCAGTACGTATTGGCTATTTTACTAAGAATTTGTCCAAATCGGAACGCCACATATTAGTTTGGAACGCGTTGTATTGAAGCTGTGGTTTGCAAAATTTTCGGATAACCCGTACTACATTATGTATACATTTGTCCTTGTTGAAAGAAAGCAATAAATGTTTCTAGTCTTTCCCTATTTTTGAAGAGAAATCTAAGCTTTTGGCGGTGAGTGTCACATTGACTTGAAAATGATTTAAAAAGTGTGCTCTACGAAAAAAAGAAAAATATATGTTACAGGTCAAATTTTATATCAGGTTAATTTTGATTTAAACTACAAACGGCGACAAAATCGTTGAGAGGCTGTTCTCAAATGGAGTACTTCGGAGAACAAGACATTCGGCAGCTCTCTCCCTCCCCTTCATTCAAAGTTGGGGTTTTTTACAGATAGCTCGAACAGCGCTTTTAAATAACATAGTTTTCGTTTTAGAACATATTTTTTTCAATGCTTTCTCAAGACTTGAATGCTGCTTTTCTAGATAGATATGAATTCAGCTACTAGAGACCAAGAGAATTTCAGAATTGTTAACAGCAAAATAGGAAGGGATTTTCTCGGTGTCTCAGGTTTAAACGCTAGCGCGCTGTTATATAATACCAATTTAGTTGAGGTCATTCTTTTCAGGCATCACTGGGAGGACTAAGAAAAATGTCGCCTACAGTGTAGCGTTCCCCGCCCCAATTTTGCTGTATTTAAAACTCAGACTACTGGTCTCATTTTGCCAAACTCGTACTATAAATAATTTAAAGTCAACTTGAGATTCACTCTTACCCACATCAGATACTTTTTCACTCGCTCTTTACGCTTTCCTCTGCTCTGCTCTCCGGACATCGGCACTACATTCTTGATAATATCCAGTTTCTTTAAGTCCTCGTCTGTCAGATAATCTATAAAGCAAGCTCACATTTTTCAATGCCACGGGAAACGGCGAATTAAGCCTAATTTTAGCGCGAAATGTGAAATGTGCAGTAATATGTAGCAGGGATAAAGCCACATCACGTACACACACAAGAAAATGAGTTGCGTACATATCTGCTGAAAACTATTAGCACGCGTGAGGGGATCGACGTGTCACTGCAACGTCCCCGTTTTTTTGCGTGTGTTCCCACTTCACATGCCGCGACAAGTCTATTTAACATGTCTCTTCCTACTTCTTAAGTACAATATGACTCGATAATGCACGGCTAAAAGCAAGAGCCAATTGTTTTATAACATTACCGCTGCAACCCGGGCCACTCGGATGTAAATAGAAGCGATTTGCTTAGTACGATATTAGCTTGCATTTTTGGAATATGGGGCGTGCTTACAGACTCTGCTAGCTATGTCACTCATAATATGGCATTCTGTTATGATGACGGTAAATAACTAGCGGCTGGGCGGAGACTAGTGTAGCTTAGGGTTAAGATGTAATTAGCCTTTTCTTAGGTCTAGGATTAGCGGATCAGGCGAAAAACTGATAAAAGATGATATCAAAACTGTCTTAGCAATAACAGTAAATTTGAGATGGTCGCAAAACAAGCAAGCGAGAACACAAATTGGATTAGCTTATCTATCATTCTTTAGTAGAGGGTCCCAATGGGGTTAGCCGATAGGCGTAAAACGGCCAAAACTTTAGTCAATAACCGTAAAAATTGAAAAATTTTAACCGTTAGCTGTAAATAAGATAAAAAAGAGAACCGTAAAAGAAATTGTTCCCTAGATTTGTTAATTTCAAGGAAGGTGATAAAGTTCACTTATGCTTGCGTTTTTTATTTCCCGGCTACTTTGACTCCGTACGCACGTTAGGCCAAGCTCCTTTTAGGTGTTGACCTAGTCCTAGGCTCCATTTCCGCCGCTCACTCGAAGAACCAAGTTCTTTCCATAAGGAAAATCTGGCTTCTTGGGGGGGATTAATATTTGTGATTTTAAGGAGGTCGTACCCTCGAAATACTAGTGAAACAACACGCAGAGATGTCACTGTTTGTAAAACATGTTGCTGATAAACAACAATTCCCTGTTTTTCTCTGACGCTACGGTAGACATTGCCATGCCTAGTCCCTGTACGGCGTCTTCCCACGCAACCTCGGTCAAGGCATTTCAGTGGCATACCTGAGGGAAAAAACTCGCTCGGACCACGTGACCCGGAATGCATTAGCCGCGCGGAATAATGAGGTCTACGGACAAGTCACGGCAGACAGTCGTTCTTTACAGTCCTTTCTGTATCATTAAAAACACTGGACAAGGGAATTTTTTTTGTTGGCCGTTTTCACACTAGAGCTAGAAATGGATCATCCGTCTGAGACTAGCCTGTGTACAGTCGCCCCCTCCCCCAAAGACAACCCTTTTCCATTTTTTTCTGAGGGGAGGGGGCGGCTGTACAAGCTATCTGGAAGGGATAATCCATCTTCAAACTGTCCGTCAAAATTGGGGGATAAAGTCAGGCGGATTGTTCATCCAAAATTATAACCATTCCATTTTCAAATTAAGACGTATTACCTATCTGACGCGAATTATCAAACGGGTAACCCGTCTCACACGAATGATCCGTCTCTAGCGTGAAAACGGCAATTTCTGTTATAAATGAATTCGCGTCCCGGCCTTGAGTTGAGCGTTCGCGTGTCTGCTTTTGCTTTTTCAGAAAGATTATTTATATATTGACTGTTGACATTTCTACGCGTACTGATAGTATCAGAAGTGGAATACTGTAATGAAGTATGATCTATTAAATGTTATTTCATCCCGAGATGATCCTAAGACCTTTATTTTGCTTTAAAGTTAGAAAAAATACAGGTTTATTAATATTTAACCCTTTGAAATAAAACAAATTAATTTTTAACTTTTTTGTTAACCGTAACTAAAAAAACTTAACCGATAGCCGTAAAAGAGCCGAAATTTTAGCCGATAACCGTAAAAGCCCTCACCCCATTGAGACCCTCTTAGTAATTTGAAAGGAAAGCTCCCTGCAAGCGCTATACCTCCAAAATTCATGTCCTCATTCTCAAAAGACTCCAAAGCAAGGGTAGTTTCGCTGTACTCTTTATTGTCTTCGTCGCCCACTGCTCTGTGTACACTCTTCCCAGCAAATTCTCCTTTTGGAATCTTCATTCTTCCCTCCTCCTTGTCGTAAACTACAGGAATGCACTTGAAATAAACTGGGCCTCGCGCACTTCTCTTAACTGCCTTTGGAGGAACGGTGCCCTTTTTGAAAGTTCCCTTCAATTTAGCCTTTAACTGAGGGATAAACGAGACGGGAACATCGACACCACCATCAATTTCAATCTGCAAAACCAAAAAAATGCAATAAATAAATGCATTAGTTGGTGTATTATAGAGTCCAGGCTCAGAAGAATAAATAACTTTGCAATTTCTCGTTCTTTCATTAGCCGAGAGGTCACAAAAAAGAAACTTAATTTGCATCACGCCACTAAAATTGGGCATCAGATTTGTACTTTGGTTTGAAAATGAAAGCAAATTCACCTTTATTTTATTTACTAGAAATTCGCACTTTGAATCTTTTTATGTGTAGTTTTGGACTGCTCCTAAAGTCTTCTCTCTTTTGAGGCGTATAAGTTGCACTGTGTTCAAAAATTGCTTTTATAACTAGAACAGTGTTAGAGGCCTTTCGGGATCGTTTCTCTAAAGTTTTTCCCGTCACTTCGTTTTGATGACGTATACGTGACCCAAGATGGATTGATCGCCGCGAGAACTTAAATAAGACGAGTGTAAGAGAAAAGTCCAGAGGTGTTTATCTGGCAATAAGCTGAGTTTTTCCGACTTATTCGATGATATTTCGCTTATGTTAAACGTGAGAAGATTATGCGTGGTTGTGGATAGTCTTATCTGTGCCGCGAAAGTGTGTGATTGTGTGATTTCCGCATGATGTTGACAGGTATGTTATCGCGTGGTTGAACTGCGGTTTCGCCAAAATATTCTGTGCCAGCAAGAGACTATAAAGGGGACAGAGAGGGCATCCCCCATATACACCCTATTCCATAGGTAATTCGTCTCGAGTTATTTTTAACACCACAGATCTCAAGGGGGATTAGACAACAGCCAATCACATAGCGCGAATGTGTTCCGCTTGGATGACCCACGCTGAGAGCCACGCGTCCTTCACGAAATGACGCAGAACAAAATCGGGGAAGACGCGGAGAGCGATTTTGCTATTCCTTTTGTCGACAAAAACGACTACAGAGAGATTTCTGCGAAAGCTGTGTCAGCGAAACCGAAATTAAAAAAGAATCGCCCTTCCTCTCTTGTATAGAGCTAACAGTAGAGCAGGGAAATCCTTAACACACTGAATATTCTCTCAGGATCATTTATAATTTACAGTTTGAAGAGAGCAATTTCTGGTTTGATGTTTATTTTTTTCAGTCTTTATAGCGATTATTCCTACCCACTTACTTTGTCAATTGTAGGCGAACCCTTCTAAAGCTGAATTTCAAGGGACCATATTCAAGTTCAGAAAAAGAAATAAAATTTCGTCGTTGCTTATTTGCGTCCTCCATAAAACGCGAAATTAGGCATTTTCACGTCGTAGTCGTGCAAAAACGGGAAAGAAATGAACAAAAAAGTGTGTTGCACATGCGAAGTTGTTGTTTTGCTAATTAAACCTAGTGTTTTTTTGACGCTCTAGTTGTCGTCCGCGTCGTTGGATCTTAAACTCCCTAAATTGTACAAACGACCAGTTTCAATAGACCGGCGAAATTTCTCATTTTATCAAAGCATTGAGGTTACGACAACTTCGAGTTAAACTGATTTCAAGGGTTGTCAAAGAGTCCAGCGATTCCTTTTTCCCAGGTGAGCGCCGACTCATTTCGCTTCAATATTCAGGAATGCTCTCGATCTTTTTACGCTTTCATTGCCTCTCGCCCGACATGTTTTACACGGCGTTTGGTCATGCGAAACCTCCACGAAACATCCACTCCTCGCGCGAGGTAACTTTATCCCGATTCTAAAGATAACTCGAGACGAATTACCTATGGAATAGGGTGTATATGGAGGATGCCCTCTCTGTCCCCTTTATAGTCTCTTGGTGCCAGCCATTAATATTGTTTCATCGGTGTTTAGCTTAGCTGATTGTACCTTGGAAAAGCAACTCTCGACTCGGGAAAATTGGATCTAGGTCTAGTTTCAGCGGGCTCTAATGGCATTGAGCCATAGGCCGGTTTTTGCAGATAACAAGGTGATAATTTGGGCACTATGTTTCATTCAGTTTGTTGTCTATTCCATGCGGAATCCTGTTGTTTATCGGACCGCGAAAAAAGTAGTGTTTTGCTAACTATTTAAGTTGTTATTTAAGCCTTAACCAGGCACTGTTTCGCTGCAGCTCACTCGACCTAAAAATTTCTAGACTGAAATGACACCGGTTTGAAACTTCGCGAAGTCAGTTTACTGAATAAATGTTCTAAAATTTGCGTCACTTTAAATTTGGACCCGTTGGAATTAATGCTTCTGGGGACCATTAACGTACTGCCCGGCGTCAGATAAAGGCTTTTAATCGGCCTTTGAATGAATTTTGTTGTTTTAAATTGCCAAGTAGTAGAATAAGTTGATATTTTTGCTAACCCGGTTTTCAAATCCAGGTATAAATAAATAAATGAAATGATAAAATAAAGATATATTAATATATAAAATAAAGATATAAAAGTTAAATAAAGAAAACTATATATAACTATTATTTAAGAAAAGCTGATAACCTATATTTAAAAGTTTCTAAGGAGGTTGATGAAACAAAGGCCTCAGGGAGGCAGTTCCAGCCCGCTATAGTTTTTGGAAAAAACGAAAACTTTAAAAGGTCTTTATTTGCATATGGCACGCAAAATTTAAATTGATGGCTCCCCTTTGTGCGACTCTCGGAGTGTTGAATTAAATATTTTCGGCTACCTATATCAATAAGACCATGAGTTACTTTATACATAAGTGTTAACCTAAACTGCCTTCTTCTCGTTTCCAGCGTGGCCCACCCTAAGTCTTTAATCATGCCCGTGACACTCGCATATCTATCATAATTCTGTGAGCAGAACCGTGCTGCTTTACGTTGAACCCTTTCCAGAGCACTGGTATCTTTCTTTAAAAATGGGTCCCAAGCCGCACTTGCATATTCCAGCTTCGGTCGTACTAGGAATGTATATGCAATTTCTTTTACATTCTTTGGACAATTCCAAAGGTCGCGTTGTATTGTACCCAGCTATTTGTTTGGTTTAGCTGCTGTCATGGAAACATGGGCTGACAACTTGAGCAAGGTACGGGAAGCTATCAACCTGTTCCAACTCTACACCACAGAAGACATATTTTCTCTGGGGTGGATTGTTCTTATGTGAGATGGTAACAATTTTGGATTTGAAAGGATTAAACTCCATTTGCCAATGATACAGCCAGGATTCTAGACTGCGTAGGTCAGATTGAAGAAGATTGCCGTAAAGTAAAGCATCGTCCGCAAAGAGACCATTCGCATTAGTCGTCTCCTCTCGGCTGGGCCGCAGTCGTGACGTAGGTTCAAGAACTCTTATTCCTCTCAAGCCAAGTGATTTGATTGTAAATCTTTCTCGATCGTGGAAAATGCCTGAGAGATGTGTTGCAGCACGTTGCAAAAGGTAGCTGGCCCTAAGAAGAATATTTCGATGCATAAGATTCCCCTCTTTGGTGAGGAATGCCCGATAAAGAAGAAAAGAAAGACATGGATCAATTTCGTGCCGGAGAGGAGAAAGATGTGGGTGCAAGGGAAGACGTTTTATTTCAAAATACAGGTACAACAATACAGATGTTTAAATTTGGATGCGAATTTTTATTGTTAATTTCCTCTCTTCATATATATAAATGCAGGCCACATTCTCTCTTCTCTTGGTTGAGTTGGTTCGGGTGGTAAGAGTTCGTGCTATCTTATTCTAAATACGCATACACCGTATTCACAAATGGCGGACACGCGGGAAAAAACTGGTGCCAAGTCATGAAAGCGAGGCGTTGGAGGATAAACAAAAATCGCAAATGAAGACTTTCAGTGAGCTTGCAGAGTGTTTAGCGCTGATTCCACCTCAAATAACTTTGTACGGACTTCTTTTTAAATACAATTACGTGGGATGTCTTCTGCTTTTAATGTTTACTAATGATTTGCTGTTTGCAATCAAAAGGGACGCGTATATCATCAAGGAAACAGGATGATTTTGTAGGTTTCCAAAGCATCCGAAGCTCGACAAGTGGACATGGCTGGAGAAAAGCGGCAAACATGTTGGCCCAAACTTCACATTGAAACCGAGTACGAAAGCCAGCTCACTGCAATTCGGTGAAACAGAAATATAAACAAATCTTGGTGGCAAGAAAAAAACACATGAACAACAGATATATGGCCTACTTGTTAACGCAAGAGACATCTGCCGTTGAACAAAACAGTTCAAGTCGAGATGGAAAGAAGGAAGACAGGAAAGAAGAGGTGAATGAGGTTTCGATGTAGTTATGTTTGGTTTTTGTTTGCCAGGACGTTATTCTCTGGTCTTTATCGATGAAGGACATCAATTAGAACTATTTTTTTAGTATAAATGCAGGAGCGATCGAGTGGAGTACGCTCAAAATTTCAACTTGTTACTCGGCAGACTCGGTAAGCCGGACACATATCATTTCAGCGAGTAATTTCGTATTTCTTATCTTTGGCTGTTAAGAGTTTTAACTTTATGTTCCATAATATTTTAAAGTTGAAGAATACATAAATAAATAAAATGATGGTCTTCTTAAACGGATCCAGGCTCGAATTTAATTATTCGAAACAGAAGCTTGCCGTGTTCAGTCCTGACACAAACATTGCCTTAAAAGTTTAACCTAGTAAAATGTAAGCTTATACCACTTTTTACCAAGAGCTCTCTGAGACAATGCCCCCAAAGGAGACCAGGCAAATACCAAGCCATAAGATTCACACACTACAGTTTCTAATTTTGATAAAATTATTTTTAATTATTTCGCAATGACAAAGAAATCATGAGGTTTTTGCTAAGCTCTGCCGACGTACCTCTAACAATTCGCTTCAAAGCGACGGAATTAATATGATCCAAAGGAAGTTGTAAATACATACATATATAAATAGATACTTGTATTCTGGGTAGAACGTATTTCGTAGAGCGCTCAATTCATTTAATTGAAGAGCATTGACTATTAACAATCAGAGGAGTTCAGGCTTCAGGAGTAATCATTGATCGTTTATTGCGACAGTGCTGTTTCTTATGGTCCGAAATTGTAGGGCAACACTCATCAGGCAACTTCAAGGATTGACCGTTAAAATTAAAACCTGGCAGTAAAATTGGAGTGGTTGTTATAGGGATGCGTTAACAGATTGTATCTAGGTAACAGATGGATTGTGTCTTAGTTACGTTACTCTAGAGTTCTGAAGTACATATCTGTTTCTGTGGGGGCATGAACTCACTAGTTCGTTTCGCCTGTTTAGGCTACAAAGTTTTTTTTTACAAATGATGATGAACTTTTCACACAGACAAAGATTACATTTTTGCTAATGTTCCTATAGGGTTTACATTTCTTTATGATTTCTCTTCCGTTGACAAGTAGGCCATATATCCATCGCTTATTTCTCTTTTTCTCGTCACCAATGTCCGTTTTTATTTCTGTTTTACAGAATTGTAGTGATCTGGCTTTCGTACTCGGTTTCAGTGTGAAGTTTGGGCCAACATGTTTGCCGCTTTTCTCCAGCCATCACCCACTTGTCGAGCTTCTGATGCTTCGTAAACCTACAAAATCATCCTGTTTCCTTGAAGATAAACGCGTCCTTTTGATTGCAAACACTGAAGGACTTAAACGGTAAATAATCAAAGATATTTTCGGTGACGACAAGCGAATGGAAAAGGGTTTAATTGATAGCGACAGTCCGGAAGAATTTGACTGCAAGTTGCTCGAGGCCCAACGCAGATGGGATTCTTTGGAGTCCATGGAGAAGATGGGTGCAGATCCTGGGTTTTCAAAGTATTTTACAACTTGTGTAGCAGACAGCATGAGGGAAGGCATGATAACTCCCATCAGGAAAGCGGCTGGACTTGGGGACAACCTTTACTTTAAAAACGCTTCAGAGTCATTTCATTTCCAGTACAAGCTACAGATTGAGCAGAATCGCACTGATGACACCCCACCTGGCAAACCCAACTTGAAGAGTACTATGTCTCAGGCCACAGATGAATATGTTGAAATGTGCGAAAGAGCAGCCAGGAACGTGGAGAGAGCTGTTATCCACGAAGGGCCATACCGACTTGCACCAGAGTTTCAACACGTAAAGAAGACTACAGAGGAATGGATTAAAATGTCCGAAAAGGAGAAGAAGGATCACCCTAAAAAGATCAGTCCCTTGAGCCAAACAGCACTCGACGAGGAGACTGAATTGCCTATGGATGAGGAAACAGCCGTCTTAGGCAATTTTAATGAGAGTGGCCTTCCAGAAATGTTCAAAGCATCATGGCGAAATGCTGAGGTGATCTTGAAAGAGGACGGTGTCGGACAAGCTCCTGGTAGTAAGACGAATAAAGTGGTCATGTCCACGACAAGTGATAGTCTTCATCTTGTTAGGGTCACTGATAGGAAATTGCCAGTCTGTGATTGCGAAGGGTTCAAGCACAAGGGTCTCTGCTCACATGTACTTGCAGTATCCTTCCAGATGGGCTCCTTACAACGAGTACTTTCTGATTGGACACCAGACATCACTCGCCAACTACAGGAGAGTATGCCAAGTGGAGCAGGCCTTAAAGAAAACGAAAAGGGCAGGAAAAGAACCAGAAAAACGCACAGAGAGGAACAATCCACCGCGGGATTTTCTGAGAGAGTTCCATCAGTGACGCCAACCATTCCACCTGACGAGTATCAGGTTGTCTTTGTAAAGGACACTAAGGCGTTGACTTGCTATGGGTGTGGATCAAAGGTAATTGCAATTACGACTTAGAAGTATATGGAGACGATTTTAACAGATACTTGAAAATTAAAACGACTTTTATTTAAACAGTTAACGTTTTAATCACAGGCTCAGTATGCCGGTATGGGAGTAGAAGAATTAATAATCTCTAATATACATTGTCTTGCAGTTAAGAAACAAGCCTAGTGATGCACCACCTCCTGCACCATACGATTTGATGCTCAAGCATCGCGAAAGAAGGGTCTATCAGAAGAAGGGAACGATTCAGCTTAAGGTTGGTACCCTGTCACATCAACGATAAAATGATGTGCCACTTAGTAAATACCAGTGAGTCAGGCTTTTTAATAATGTTGCAATGAAAGAGTTACTCTTACAGTACATTTAAAGCGAATAGACAATTACACAAGATTTATGGTTTATGAAAATCTCACTTCAGGTCAGCCGGGATCCAGAAAGTGTGTATTACCATGTCAGAAAAACGTGTGTGCTGGCAAAGTGTGACAAGATCCTACCAAGGAATATAACAATCACCGAGCCTATCAGTGAACAGATGAGCGAAGTTCATAAGCGCCATCTATCTCGGGAATTTGGTGTTTTGGTATAGAAGTGTCCGTCGAGAGTTTTGTTAGAACTGTTGATATTATGATAATGACCAAATGCAAAAATGTAAAGGGGGTCACCTATGCCAGATAATAGGGACCGTAATCAATCACGAGGACTACGCTAAACAAAACGTCGATGAAAAAAATTATCGTCCATATCTGTAACAAATTTACACAGTTTCAAAACGCTCGCGAAAGTTGTTTTAGTCATGAAACCTTTGGATTTGCAATGATGTTGACATTTACGTCGTTCTAGTTTGCTTAGCGTCCTTAATTCTGTAAAAGAATGTTCAAATTTGGCTTCTACCCCAACCCTCATACAAGGAGTTTATTTTCATGGAAGTTACAGATGTTGCAAGTTATGTCGGACACAACCAAATAAGGTGTATTTTCGAGTGTATCTTAGCAATTTGTTAAAAATACGTTGATAGTCAACCATACAATGCAAGAAGATTTAAGATGATTTAAGAATATAAATTTCTTTAGTTGTTGTGAATTATGCTTTTTTCCTGAATCTCTTCCCTCATGCGTAAAGACAACACATACATAACTCGTATGGGACGGGGTGCTGCTTTTCTTAATCTTGGTTTCCAAAGCAATAAAACTTCACACACCCAAGGAGATACATTGGCCACATGCAAAGCCGTTTATTTTCGATAGCAAGCTTAAAAAAGCTGAATGAAAACCTACCAAAGTATATCCCAGCAAAGATGAGGGAAATCTCCAAGAAGATGCTTGTGAGGCGAGCTCGGCTTCTTTGTAATCTGTTTCCTGTAGAATTAAAAAAAAAGTAATCAAAACAGAAATGATCAAAGCCACATTGCATATCCTATACATCTTCTTTCATTCGCGTAATAAAATGGAACAAAGCTCGGTCCTGATGCATGGACTGCTAACAGCGATACCGAACAAGTACGTTAGGTTTTGAAGATTATAGTTATATAAAAAACTTTCAAATTATGCAAACGGTCTTGGTCTAAAAGGTGTCATTATTTCGTAACTACGGCTAGAATCATACCATGTTTCCATTGCTCAACTTAATGACAACTTAAGTCTTAAACATCAATGTACGCAGCAACAAACCGAAATCGGCAATTCAAGATTGCAGCACAGTCGATAGTTAGCGAAGTAGACGTGTGTTGATAATTCACTAAGTTATTTTTCAGTTCTTCAGTGGAACTGAGGCCAAAATAACTTGTCAGCAAGTGCTGTTTTCTTACCTCGAAACTCTGGTCTTCCGCCATGTTGCTTTCTGCACAGACGAGGCTATTTTCCGTTCCATTCTCCTCTCAGAGCCTCGTTCCAAGTCCGCTCGCGTGGAGCGAAGAAAAAGCCTCGTTTCGAGATCTCCAGAGAAGGAACTCCTCAAGTTCCAATACAATGTGTAACTTTAGCCATTTACTTGTTCAACCCTCAGTACAAAACCGGAAAGCATGGTCGATGGCAAGCATATGCCTGATTGTGGCGTAACCGGAAATAAAACAAAAAAGCCTAATGGAGTGTCTTAACTGTTTTTACTGCGTTTTCTGTGCCCTATGACCTGTGCCCTGTGCCCTGTAACTTGTGACCTGTGACCTGTGACCTGACCTGTGACCTGTGACCTGCGTTTTGTACCTGCCGCTTATAACCCTCAATACGGCTCAGCTCTCGTTCCAAATCGGTCAGTATAAAACATGGACGGCGGACTGCGGACTACGGACTGCGGACTGGGTATAAAATACGGACTAAGTATAAAACGCGGACTACAAAATACGGACTGGGTATAAAACACGGACAAGGTATAAAACGCGGATTGCGGACTGCGGAGTGGGTATAAAATGCGGACTAAGGACTACTTTGGTAAAAACCGTGCAAATTGGTTCTAGGTAAGGAAAAATAAGATCAAAAGATCGCTAAATAGCAAGACACGTGAGTTAAAGTTGTAAATAGTCCTATAAATTCTTGGTGGAGGTGTCCCGCCCGGTTCTCTGAATCATGAGCAGGATCAAAATGCTATTTTCTTCCCCCATTATTAGACCTTGTCTTGGTCTCGAACAATCATGAAAGGGGTCAGGATCAGGGGTGGTACTCCCTTCTATAATGGAAGGGTAGGGGTTTTGGGCCTTTTTGGTCTGAAAACACTTTGCCCATTTTGGTGTGGAATCGGGTATGGTTTTCGAGGGAACTACGGAAGCGTACATGAATGGACATATTTATCGTTTCAATTCCAAATGAATAAGAACGAAATAGAAATGCGCGAATTCGAAATGCATTTGGAGAATTTTTTTGTTTCCGCTCTAACTTGGTAATGATGACAAAATTTCTGCCTAATTAGACCTAACCTGTTCAAGGCTCTGAGATAGTTGGGTCCGCTGAATTGAGAAAGCGAAAACACGAAAATAAAACGGGAGAAAACTGGGGAGTCTCCCCAACTACGTATCTGAGAACCTGGAACAGGCTAAATTAGGCCGGGTCCGAAAATGGGTATGGATTTTAGAGATCTAGTTTGAAAACGGGAGTGGAAAATGACAATTTTTTGGTCTGCAATAAGGTCAGGATTCGGAGAACCGGGCACTACACCCCCACCAAGAATTCCCAGTAGTACCCCCCTCCGGGGATCAGGAGCAGGGTGTAAATCAAGTCATCATAATCATCTTTAAGAATATAACGTTGGATGACTCATTTCGGTTATTATTCACGTATGTGAGTAATCCCTCCCACCTAAATACTGCTCTTGTGCATCGCATTGACCTTCTCGTCTGAGTTCTTCATTCACTCCTCATATTCCCAAGGCTTTATTTGAAACGGAATTGTGGCATCCGATAAGAATTTTACTGATCTGACTAACACCAATACCATTTTTTTTAATTCGGTGCTTCTTATTGGTTTAAAACTGCAAATTGAAATCTCTTCAAACTCCTTCTTTTTATAAAATTCCGAGTTTAATTTCAGTTGCCTTGAGTACCGGCATAACCTTCCTTCTCCGTGGGAAGAATAGACTACGTGAACAGCCAAGGGAATGTTAATTTGGGAGTACTGTTTTTGCTAGTCCGCTTTCCATTTCTCTCAGTTTTACCTTCTAGAGCTGTTTTTATATACATAGTGCGTGTTTTATACTCAGTCCGGAGTCCGCATTTTATACCTAGTCCGTATTTTATACCCAGTCCGCAGTCCGTGGTCCGCAGTCCGCAGTCCGCAGTCCATGTTTTATACTGACCGCGTTCCAAATTGAAACAGGCGCTTCTAATTGTTGATTCAGACGCCGAACTTTTCATGCACTTACACCGCTTTACTATTGTTCGCTCTCTATAGTTTCGCTTCATTATCTCTGCGGACAGTAAAACACACATCACAGTCTGAAGATATTTTCCCAAAAGGTAAAACTGTTCAATGCTGCACAGTTTCTTAGAATATAAAGACTAAAGGTTGGGAGTCCTGTGCTGTATTTACGCAAGTGCACGAGAATATGTGCGGCATTTTCTCAATCCGTGGGAAAATTATGATGACACAATTATTTCAACTCAAAATGGACGAAGCATTCGCACGTGGAAGTGTTAAAGCCAATTTTTGCAGTCAAGAGGTAACTGAGATCTGATTAAGCCAGCTGTATTGGAAAAATCAATTGTCAAAAAAAGGTTAGAATTAGAAATCTCACTCGCTGCTCTTAATTTTCAGTGAAAACGACAACGCAAAGATTAAGGAAGGTGAGTAACAACGCTTCCTTCATGTTGACACCTTTTCTTTTGTTATTCAACAACTTTTATTTATCGCACAACTCTCTTGAATATTCAACAAATTGAAAGTCCGAAGAGGGCTTGATATTCAAAATCTCAAGATTGACTTGGGGAATTGTCTCACTGTCTCCAATGAATTCATCAAATCGTTGCGTTCCTGAGCCCAAATGCATTCAGACCAGACAAGGACTCCCTACAATGTCTTTATTAGTATATTTTGCAGTATTCGAGATGCCTTTCTCTTTTCAAAGTTCTTCATCGTCAACGATAGCAATCATTCTACGGTCTGCAGAAGTTTTCTATGGATGTGTCTGTCCTTCCGGACATGATTCCCTGAATAATTTAATAATGAAATTTTAGCTATTCTATCATGATTTCTTGCCATCCAGAGCATAATTTTTATTATTATGAAATTCAGATGGAATGGTCATTTCTTGATTTACAAGTTCATCTACGATTTGTAGAATTCTGAATCTTGGAGTATATCGGAAATTGATATTTGTATTCATAAAAGCGATTTGCAATCGCTGCCAGGTTTTTTAACCTTTGTAAACGAAAAAATAGAATAAGATCTACTACGAACATTTTTAAGAAGTGAATTTAGATCGGGATCTATTTTACTATTATTGTTATAAATCGTTGAGGCTAAAAAGACCGAGATCATAGAAAAACTGGTAAGTCTATCAAGATATTTCTTATTTGGTAAATTGGGGTTAAGGACATTGTTAAACTGGCAGTGGGCGTGGGGAGTATTTAACCCAAAACAGGGTAACTCTTTTACTCAGTTTAGCGCCGTTACCGAATTTCACTACATACAAAAACAGTTATGACAAGTACACTTCTTATCATAGAATTAGATGTTGTTGCTCTCCAATTCTTCTCGAGCCAGCCTGTGTAGGAAGCTCAGGTCTCTGACTTTGATGAATTCAACTGTCTTCTGAGCGACGAAGAAATATGTTGACATTTTTAGCCTAGCAGAAAGTATACTGATACTAGCGTAGAGCGTAGAGCGTAGAGTTCTTGTGTCTTCGGTGGAAGATGGTCCACGTGAGAAAAATCAACTTCAGCATCTACACCGACAACGCTGGGATCGACATCTTTGATTCTTCGATGCAAGGACATGACTTCTCCTCTGGCTAATCTTCGTACAAATTTACAGATAATGGGCTTTGGCTTCTCCGCCAAGGAAATCCGCGCAGGAAGTCTGAGCAATATCTATGTCGCTCAGCGACAAGTGGGGTCCCATCACGTTAAAAATCTTACCGCGAAGATTGGAAGTATCCAGAGATGGCTCTTAAGCCAAGGGGGCGATCTCTGGAACGTCAAGAAGCTTGATGTTAAATCGGTAACTGCACTGGGTGAATTCGTCAAGAGCAACCGACAATTCTCTAACCCACTCGTCAACTGAGTTGAGCTGTTTCAATGGGACAGAAAGTTTTTCTTTCATATTTAAACTGAATTTCTTCAAATCATCGTTCTCCTCGCCCATAAACTCGAGCGCCCTCTCAGTTTCAGGGTCTGACCCACGGTTGCCACGGACGTCTTCCACTGCGTCTTGTATGCGTAAACCAGCTTGTAATCGTTGAAATTCAGACCTGAGATTGACAATTTCCTTACTTATAAGACCACTTTGTTGTTTAAGACAAGATACGGTCGGCTTTGTAGTTTTTGGTGGCATTTTACAAAAGTTTTTCCAACCAAGAAATCAGAGCTCAACAACGTCTGCACAGTAGCTAAACATGCGCAGTCCGATGCGCAGTCTGCCGGAAAAAGCTAAACTTCACTGCTAACCAAAAGTGACCTAATAATACACTTCGCAAAATAGTAGTTCTTACAAAATTACTACTTTGTGAAATGAGTTCTCCCGTACGGTCAATAAAATGAGAAGTCTCCAGATTCTTCAGGAATTGATCAGCAGTTTTATGTTTACACACATTTCTCTGGTACGAAAGCAACTGTTAAAAGGTACAAACAGCTCACTTCTCAAATAGTAATTCTGGCAAAATTACTACTTTGCGAAATGCGCTCGAGTACAGTCAATAAAATGAGAAGTCCCCAGACTCTTCGAAATATTAGTCATTTTATTGCTGAGCACAATTAGGACATATTTGTTAAATAAAGGTGAAAAAACGCCGTTTCACAAAATAGTAATTCTGGCAAAATGACTACTTCGCGAAATGAGTTTGAGTATAGTCAATAAAATGAGAAGTCTCCAGACGCCTTGAAATATTATTCATCTTATTGGAGGACACAATTTGTTTCAGACGAAAAGGACACTGAATTTGCTAAATAAAGATGAAAAAACGCTATTTCACAAAATAGTGATTTCAGTCCAGTCATATCCAGTGGTCTGACCTTAAAAAAGTAGGCCTTGATCATATGACCGAGGTCTTCATTTCAGTGGCCTTTGGACCCGGTGTGTTAAACAAGGGAGCTGTGGTTGTTTGGACACCGAGGCAGACATGCTAATAAAAGTCATCTGAAATATTACTAAAGAAATGACTAAAAATAACCTAGCGTAAATGCTAATGCAATGCAGCT